GAAACGGCAGAGGGAACGCCAAGGTCGGAGAAGGGAGGAGGTGCTACATGGTGCTGGAGCATACTGGAGTATTCCCCAGCAGCCCCTGGAAGAGACCACGAAGGAGCAGGTGTTTACACTGCGGCCTGTGGGGAGCCCATGCTGAAGACTTCTCCTGAAGGACTGCGGCTTGTGGGGAGAGCCCAAGCTGTAGCAGAAGAGAATGTGAGAGCGAATGAGTTGCAAAGAGGAACTGTGACATACTGACCATCTGCCCCTCCTGCACTGCTTGGGGTGGCCTGAGGAGACTGGCGTAAACCTGAGCATGGGAGAGGAGGGAAGGAAAAGTGTTGATATAATGTTTGTCTTTGTTTCTCAGGACCCAAATCTATTTGAATTGTTAATAAATTAATTTTCCCTAAGTAGAGTCTGTTTGGCCCATGACATTAACTGGTAAGCAATGTCCTTGTCTTTATCTTGACCCATGAGCTTCTTCATCCTACTTTCTCCCTCCCCACTGTTGCGGAGGGAGAGGAGAGCAGCATCTGGCTGCTGGCCAAGGCTAACCCACTGGTGCTAAATATGAAACACTTTATTTGCAGCGTGGCATATTCTGAAATGAGTCTTGGAATATTGGGAAGAACACTTAGTTTATCACAATTGTATTTATCAAGTAAACATGATAAGAATTCTGTTGAGCATAGTCCTGATATGTTTGTTTGGGTTTTTTTAATACTAGTTTCCCTTGAGAAAAGGAGCTACAGCTTTATACAAGATGCAGAATAAAAGGAGCCACAGCTTTATACAAGATGCAGAATAAAAGGAGCTACAGCTTTATACAAGATGCAGAATATTGTTATGACCTGTGCTGGCGATGAATCTTGTTAGTTCTAAACAGGAAGTAAAATAAGCAAGAGTAGCTGAAGGTAGTGAAACTGAGAACTAAGTATTACAGGAAGACCTTAGTACAATGGTTCTTAGAACAGAAGCTCACGTCATTACTTCTGGGTGTCCTGCATAGCATGTCATTCATCAACCTTTTAACTGAAAAATCTACAAAGATAGCTCTGTATATTAACTGCAGTCCACTTAAGATGCTTTGCTACCTTCTCAGAGGTAAGTTTTTGGGAAAAATTGTGTATGGAAAAGGCTGACTATGAAGAACAGCTTAAAGCACTAGAACTGTGAAACTGGCATAAAGCTTGAGTTTGTATTTTGGAAGTATAAAATTATTTTTTAAAATTGTAAGTTATTTAAATAGGATCTGCCTTTTGTTACATAAGTAGCTGAAAGACAACTGACTGTAATTTTTCTCTGCAAGTATGACTAAATTCTTCTAAAATTAAGCACATGGTCAAGTTAAGGATATTATGGGAAGGTATCACTGACCATGGAATTGAATTTAGTATGGCTAATTAAGGATTATTATCATGTAAGTTAAGTCTTGAACTAATTTGTTGTTTATGTACAGGATGTGAACAGGTGCATTGAGGCTCTTGATGAGCTTGCATCCCTTCAAGTCACAATGCAGCAAGCTCAGAAACATACAGAGATGATTCTGACTCTAAAGAAGGTGAGATCTGCAATGTTAAAGTAATCTGTCTTCTTAACTTGGTATCAGTGTTATTTACTACTGGAGTACTGTGTGCAGTTCTGGTCCCCGTAAGTCATGAACAACACAGGCAGACTGGAGAGGGTTCAAAGGAGGGCTGTGAAGGTGATCAAAGGGCTGGAGAACCTGCCCTGTAAGGAAACACTGAAGGGATTAGGTCTTTTCTTCCCAGATGAGCGTCAGGAGGGACCTCATCACAGTATTGCAGCACTTAAAGGGCAGCTACAAAAAGGACGGAGGCTCTCTCTTCACAAGTCGCCACAGGGAGAAGGCAAACGGCAGCGGGTACAAGTTGCACTGACGGAGGTTTCATCCTGACATAAGAAAGAAATTTTTTACAGTGAGAAGAATCATTTGCCAGAACAACCTCCCCAGGGACACGGTAGAGTCCCCATCGCTGGAGGTTTTCAAGATGTGATGGGATAGGGTGCTTGATGATCTCATGCAGGCTCCCTTTCCCACGAAGGGTTGGACCAGATGATCTTTGGAAGTCCCTTCCAACCTGGGCTGTTCTGTGGTTCTGTGATATTTCAGAGAGTGTAAAAGTTAATGACCTCATTTCAGGTTAAATTAAGAATTTCATCTAGCATGTGGTGAAATGGCATACATATTTAGATACCTTACTCTGATTTCAGATACGGAAATTCAAAGTTAGCCAAGTTATCATGGAGAAATCTACAATGCTATACAACAAGTTCAAGACTATGTTTCTGGTTGGGGAAGGAGATTCTGTTCTTTCCCAAGTTCTAAATAAATCACTGGCTGAGCAGAAACAGCATGAGGAAGCCAACAAAACCAAAGAACAGTGGAAGAAAGGAGCAAGCAAAAAAATGGAAAAGGAAAAGGACCAAACAGGTAAGTCACCATGTTTTTAGTTTCTTGTCATATCAAAGACCCAGTCCCCATCAATTTCTGAGCCAGCTTCAAAAAATCCTTGATGTAGGAATTATACGCATCTATTAAAACTCTTACATATCTCAAATAGTCAAGGATAATACTGCTATAACTAAGTTGCAAGTTCAAAGGCATAGTGTTTTCTGTGGCTATTTTACCTTTATTGCCTGAAGGGATGCATTTTTTACTTCTCTAAATTTTCTGTTACCTTGTGGAATAAAAGAACATGAGGAAGAATAACATACTACCTTCCAGTCCTCAAGTAGCTTTTTGGTGGCTAGACCAAAAGTAAAGAAATTATCGTCATTTAGGGGAGAACAGGCCTTTATGCTCTTAGCAGTACTATTCCAGATTAATCATGAGCGGTTGTACAAGTACAGCATGGTACTGAAAGCTTTCCATAGGAAGAATGCTCTACAATAACTTAGGTCAGTTATTAAAAAAAAAAATAGTAGTAAAATAGATATTGCATTTTTAAATAGAGGACTAAAATGAGATGGAGATACTGGAACACTGTGTTGCAAATTGTCTTGGTTTGAAAGACAGGTGTCTG